GTTGATGTCCTGTTGACAGGTTGGAGTGTATATGTAACATCTTTTGATGGATAAGGCAAATGAATATTTGTGGAAGGACCACTGATAACATTAAATCAACATAATGCATTGTGTGCAATTAGTTGCATAGCTCCAGAAATTTAGCAGCAGTGGCATTAATAATTTAGTCCTTAAATCTGTGTCCTAGGATCCAATTAAATCAGTTGTTTTTGAAGGACTTAAAATAGCCCATTATATAATTAGAATGCTTTCTTTTTTTAGAACTTTAGACTCTTAACCTGGCAACACTCACCAGCTTTGGTTGTCATTTATTCATAGGAGACATGCAACATTCCAGAGAGGCAAAATCGGCTAGTTTTACTTTCCTTAGATTTTCCACCTTTGTATATAATTGCTGTCACCAAGTGCTCCTTTGTATTTGAATAAATAGGCCAAACAAACAACCCAAGATGTTTGAAGCAACAACTTTTTTTGCCTTCTTATTTTTTTATTGTAATGAGATGCTCAATAGCAAGTCATTAGTTACTTACTTAAAGGCAGGTCCTGCTACCACTAAAGTCATTCTTCCCATTTCAGTTGCATGAACTTGCAACCCTACCAGCCTATTTCATCTCCATTTTTATGCTCAGCAGTTTGCCTTGCTATATTTATTGTGGTGTTACTTAAAATCTCCTAAATAAAGTGCGCTTAAAAATGAAAGACATATTTTATTTTAATGTTTACCTTATTTTTAAGTCCTTTTCACCATGTTGTTTAAAAAGTGGGGGAGCTATTCCTATGTAAAAATGTCACTTAAGCACAATTAGGGTAATACATTATTTTGTTTAGTCAAAAAGATTTGTAGTGCAATTTTATAAATACATGCTGATACGTAGGTCCAACAAAGATGTGCAGTGCTATTCTGTAATTATATACTCAAAAGCAGATAAAAGGTGGGAAGGGAGGGATAGATAGATAGTCTCCAGAGAGCTGGAGGAGCCTTTGGAAGAGTGTATAGGGCAGAACTGTGGAAACACATTAAAATCACTTCTGCCCCCTTCCTTTACTAGAGACTTCCACTGGATCAGAGTCCCTTCCACAGGGGAAAGGTGCTCTTTTCCCGGGAGAGAACCTCAGAGCAAATTCAATGCCTCCCCATATCAAAAGGAAATTTGCTGACAAAGTATATGTGCCTTGTTTGAATAACAAGGGTTATATTTTAATTATCCAACATTACATTGATCAAATCAAGCTTGTCTCACAATGTGCATGCATTTAATTCATGACTGAAATAATGGGTTATATTTTTGTTGTTATTATAGGTTTGATAAGGACCTTGGCAGATGATCTTAAGGTCTGGTTAGATTTATATGGAAGCAGACATTCCTTCAGATATCCAGGCCCTAAACCATTAGGGCTTTATACATCAACATTAACACTTTAAATCAGACCTAGACTTTACTCAATAACCAAAGAGGATGATAAAGGACTGGTGTTACATGATTTTGTCTGCCAGTACTAGTTAACAGCCTAGCTGCTCTATTCTGTACCAGTTGAAGTGCCTGGACCATTTTCAAGGGTAGACCCAGATGCAGCATGTTGCAGTAGTCCAAGTGGGAGGTTACCAGGGCATGGATTACCGTTGCTAGGCTCTGCCAGTCCAGGTAAGGACATAGTTGATGGACCAACTGAAGCTGGTGGAAAGTGCTCCTTGCCACAGCAGCCACCTGAGATTCCAAGGATAGCTCTGGGTCGAGGAGCACTCCCAGACTATGCGCCCTGTTCCCTTAGAGGGAGTGCAACCCCATCCAGAGCAGGCCGAGTATCACTCAGCTGGACGGATGATCCGCCTATCAAGAGTAAAGCCTCAATTTATCAGCTCTCATCCTGATAAATGACCAGGCACTCATTCAGAACTGTCACTGCCTCACCTGGATTAGATGAGAAGGAGAGGTAGAGCAGGTGTCATCCGCTTGCTGGTGACTGCTCTGCCCAGACCATTCAGATGACTTCTGCCAGAGGTTTCATGTAGATATTGCAGGGGGGATGATATGGAACCCTGTGGTACTCCATAGCATAATTACCATGCTGCACGGCCATAATCCCGAAGCAAAGCAGTACCTCCAGCTCCCAGCTTGACCAGGACTCTTGTCTGGCAGTGGTGGCACCATTTTGATGAGTGTGTGCAATACACTAGCACTGGAATGAATTCGGAAAAAAGAAAAGGGGCATATTTTGTTTTGTTTGTTTTATTCCCTGTTGCATGCCTGGCCAGTGCTGCGGCTGAGTCTGCATAGGCACAATGTGAGCACAGGGGCAGCAACATTTGCTAACTTGCTCACTCTTGAGGATGGAACAGCTGACCATCACTTGGGAGGGGAGGTGGGGAGGGACAGGCAGGCAGTTTCATCGATATCACAACCATACTGATACAGTCTTGCTTCTCCTCCTCCTCCTCCCCACCTTCCTCACACTTTTTTTTAATTTCTAATGGATACTGGCTTATGAGAACATATCATGCCAGGCCTCTTCCAACTGCATTGGCTGCCAGTTGGGCCCAAGTTTGGGCCCATTCTAACTGCTAGTATTAATATTCAGAGCCCTAAATGGCCTGGAGCCAGGTTATCTAAAGGAACGCCTTGTCCCATAAGCTACTACTACCTGGTCATCTTCAAGGTCCCTTTCCACCCCCCCCCCCAAAGGATGTAAGAAGGGTGACTACTAGAAGAATGACCTTTTCAGTTGTGTTTGTTACGGAATGAGCTCCCCAAAGTGGTGCCTATTCTGTATTCTTTTTCATGTCAGGTGAAAACCTTTTTATTTGCTGAAGATTGTAATAGTTAACTTTTTAACATTGGTTTTTAGTACTACATGTTATCAGTAGCACTGCTATACCTCTGGCTGATTTGGTTGCAAGTGCTGTGGTTTTATGGTTTGTTGTCCTGTTGTTTTATGTCTTTGTTTTTGTTGTTTTTAACTTTCATTAACCACCCAGAGAGCTTAAGCTACTGGACAGTATAAAAATGAAATAAATAAACAAACATTGTCTTGCTCTGGTGGATGCTCATTTCCATTTATCATTTCTGGGCTGGTAGGGGATAATTTTCCTGCAGTGGTGGGTCATTTTTCTTTGCACAATTAAAAAAATACTATTCCTACCAGAGTCCAATTCATTGAAAAATATTCCTATGGAGATGTGACTGAAGAAATAGGGTTTAGGGAATGTATTTAAATCTCTACTACTGTGTTGTGCAAAAATGTATTTGTGTTTCACCTGTGTGTGATTTGCAAACTGATCGATTATCGTGTTTGTGTGTGTGTGTTTATGTGTGTGATGAACAGATTATATACTTAATATAAATCCTCTTCAATTTAAACTGATCCGATAACTTCCTCCTATTCTTATTCTGATGCACATTGGCATTGATAAATTCCTTTTGTGTGCCAAGTGGTCCATGAAAGAAAGCTCTGCTAGAAATTGTTTTCTGTTATTACTCTGCACAACATTACCAGAGATCAGTTGTTGAACTGTTTGCAAATTTGGGACTGCTTTGGCCTCCATGTATTTGCTTTAACCAATGAATTACATTAAAGACCATGATTGGAATCCATTTGTATCAGGCATCTAAGTCACATTATAAACTTGGTCTTTAAAATCCCTTTTTTTCCCCTTTCCTTTTGGTGGTATAAATTAATGCCAAACATTCCTGGCTAAATTCCTCCTATTTACTAGACCAAACTTCAAAACAAAGCAAAACCCCCTTGTGATTTTAGAACCAAAACTCACTCTTGCAAGTATTACACTAATTGTCTGCTAACTTGACTTGCCTTTGTGTGAAATAGGTTTCTTACTTTCTCACCTCTTACTCTCTCATGCTTTTCTCTGCACTGTTACATACTCTGGATAAATTGGGGTGTTTTCCTAACTCACTTTTTAAAAAGCCAGCTCTCTGTTTATCCTGTGTATTTAGATGCTGTGATTATTTAACCCAAACTTTCTCATTCTCAGTTGCAGTCATTGACCCTAATTGTCTGCTTCCTCAGTTTGCCTGTATGTGAAATGGGTTTCTTCCTATCCCTTTGCTTTTGATTTCACTATGCAGGCTCTACCACAAATTGCTTTCTGTGTTTTGTTACTCTGGAGAAGTTTCTGGGAGGGGAGAGGTTGAACGTAATAACAAAAGGCTTGTATAAAAAAGCTTGTGAGATTGTGTAGCAAAATAGTTGTCCTTGACTCCACCTCTGGTGACCCCCTTTCCTCCTATGAGCAGGACTGGTTATGAGCCTACACTGGGTACAAAGCAGGACATGTTATATGTTGGATATTTCTTATTATCTCATTTTAAAATGTGAATGTTATAATTCAGAATGTCAAAGCAGTTGCCCCAAACAAATAATTCTGCATGAAATATAAACATGTTTAAGTAAGCAGCATTAAAATTTACCTGTATAAAGAAACAAGTGGCATATAAAGATAGGAAGCTGACTTAACACTGAGCCAAGCCATGGAGGCCTCTAGCCCAGCCCTGGCTTCTTTTTCTGGTAGCAGTTACCCATGGTTTTGTTCAGAAGTCTTTTCCAGTCCTACAGTTTGGAGAGTATAACCAGGATCTTCTGCGTGCAAAGCATGTGCTCCACCACTCTCCTATGGCATCTCCCAGAATTCATAGCCATTGCATATGAACATGCCCCCCCAAATTCATTCTGCTGTTACACTTTACGCAGATCTCATGGCTACAGGCCATGCACATGTCTTAAAATGAGTGTTTCTGTTACATACTGCTCAGCTGCTGTGCTGCAATTACTTTCAGCACTTGGCTTTAGGGACCCAGAGATGAACAATGCACATACAGGGAGTTTTCTTTAATAGAGAGTTTAGACAGCCTGCAAGTTTAAGACGGAAAGATTGTGTTTTCTTCTTTCAGTTATGAAAGCGATGCTGAGGATGAATGATGCTTATTATTATATGATACTGCTGGTAGACTGAGTTGAAATTAATTTTCAGAGATTTCATTCTGCAGGTGATACATATCGGGTGGGTGAATGAGAGGCTCCAGGGAGCAGACTTCCCACAGCTCTATAAATTCAAGTTCCTGGCACTGAAGGGTTCATCATTCTACATTTTCAGCACACCACCGGTAAGCAACTATTCTATGCGTGATTATTTTTGAAATCCCTTTTGTCAGAATAGAAGATGATCCTTTCTATCGGATAATGAAGCAAGGCAGAATTTACAAAAGAAACTTCACAATAACTCCTTCAGGCACCTTTAATCTTTCCCTCCTATGCATAAAATATCAAGATCCATGGGGTAAGGACTTTTCAAAGCTTTTATAATGGTGCGAGAGACTTCCTTGCGTTTCAGCTCAGTCTGAGGCCCTGGTGGCCTGATCTTAGGACCTAATGCACCATGACCTGACTGTTACAAGACTGATGTGTTAGTGTTGAACATAAGAATCCAGGAGTACATTCCAGAAGGCTTTTGAGTGTGTAGTAGGGCTTTTGAACTTTTTCTTCACCAACTCCATTGAATCTTCTCAAAAGGTTCTCAAAAGCAGTTAGTGTTAAAGGCAGTGCTTCTTTACCTTACAATATGAGAAACATTGGTGGGATGGATTTTACAATGTCAGCACAACAATATTTTGATTAGGGTAATGAAATACAAAAGGTTAATAGGTTGAGTGGAGGGGAACGCTAAAGTTTGACTTGTACAGGGGCTTTACAAGTCCTGTACCAATTATTTTACCTAACGTAAAATGGGGAATAAAAACCTCTCAGTGTGCAGTAGGAAAAAAATCAATATTTGAAATGTGGAACTGTCTGCTCCCACCACAGTCCCAAAAGCCCTGGTAACAAAATTGTCTTACGGACATACCAGTGAAAGTCCTGTTCAATTTTCTAAGTTAGGAGAAATAAGCAAACTATGTAAATTAACAGTTTATCAGAATATGCTTATACCACACATTTTGTGTTAATCGGCACAATTTTTCTGAACCTCCTAGCTGATTTCACTTAACTTTGAAACCTAAGAGTTGAAAGGCAGAGTGTGTTGTGGTGGCAGGAGGATGTACCTGGGTAAGTAACACAGAGCATCAATGCCAGCTTGTGTGGTGGGGGAGCTCCCAGGCAAGACACTCTCAGAGCTGCTTCTGTCACTGAGTCTACCTTCTCCCTGCACGGTCACCAGCTGCTGTTGTTCCTCATCCTTTTTCTTATCATTGCTACTGTTCACTTGCTGGGCAGGTAGCGAACCAGCAAGCAAGTAGGCAGGGGGCTGTATCTCTCTTCCTTCTTGCCATCATCATTCTCTGGGCCAGAGCAAGAGCGGTAAAGTGGAGGAGCAAGTCCAGGTGGCTTTTATCAGTGTTCCCTGCTGAGCTGTGGCTCCTGACACGTAGCTAACCATGCCTTCCCATAAGGCCAACTCTGTACAGCATGGTAGAAAAATGGTTTGGGCAGAAAAACCTAAGAGCAAGTCAGCCGTTCAATACTTTTCATGTTCTGTCTGAGTATTTCCAAATACACCTTTAAAATGATAAAAGCAAGAACTGTGCCAGATCTGCATCTGAAAGTGGAAATATGTGACAAACCAATTAATATGCAAATGGAAGCCCAGGAATATAAGCAATTGTAGGTTAATGCTGATCAAATGTGATCCAAGAAAAATGCTCTGGGTGTTTAGCTTAATTTTTTTCTCTGTCTACTCTATGACTGCATGTTACATAGAAGCATAATCTATAACAATTAAAAGCCAATCACTTGTTGTATACATTGTACAATGTATCAGTTAAACATTCTTTATTCCTATTTACACATAAGGGAAAAAACATGCATAGTTGCATCTCTGTTTACAAAGCAATTTCAACCTTTTCTTTTCTTTTTTGCATCCTGGCATTGACAGTATGCTAACTTGTGAAATAAAGAGCGTTGACAGCTAGTACTGCTCCTTATAAACAGATGTGCCCATCCAAATAAGCAATATTGTCACTGGCGCCAATTAGCACCACTAATCTGAAGCATGGTCAAAAAGAACAAACTGTTCTTCATTACATGGTAAAGGTACAAGTTCAATGAAGATGAAACATACATGATTATTACCATTATTTATTAGATTTATATCCTGCCTTTTTTCTCACAAAGATCTGAAAGTGGTTTATTTCATTCTCCTCCTCCTGTTCTCAATCTTATCCCCACAAACAACAACCCTATGAGGTAGGTTGGGCTGAGTGTCTGTGACTGGCCCAAAGTCTCCATTTGGTACTATGGCTGAGCAGGGACTAGAACCCAGATCGTCTGAGTCCCAGTTCTGCACTCATAAAACTAATAGAAGTTTATTTGACTTAATCTTTGTTAATGCCCTCTTATATACATTAATACTTTCATTAAACATTTCAGTTGTTAACTGTTAAGCAAGTTTGTTAAATATAAACCATCAAGATTTAAAGCAAAGCAGAGTAATATCTATAATATAAATTCCATATAGACAATGAAGAGTTTCCAAAGAGCATGTCTGAATTTGGTGATTGGGAATCAAACAGTGGACAGCTGCCTTTAACTGTCATTTGTACTTATGAGCTTCCCAGGCCATTTGACCACTGTTAAAGGCAAAAAGTCAAAGTAAAAATAGCATTAGGCATTGGTTCAGATCTTTATGGCAGTTGTTACCACCTCTGAGTTACAGTGTTAGGGCCAAAACTGTCATCAAAAAATTCTTGAGAGAAATGCCAAGGTACCTACGAAACTGGAACATCTATGGAATATTTCCTTGGAACCTTGAATCAAGATTGACATTTTGGTTAAATTTACGTTTGAAATTTGGATTTAAGTTTCTGATGCATCTTACATTATAATGTAAGATGTTACATATCAAAGGTGATGATACCTTGCTTTGCTTCTGCAAGGAAAGGGAGGAAGGAGGTAAAGAAAGAAACATATATATTTTGAAATGTGTATTTTCTTTCTTAACCATTATTTTGTTAAGTAGGACAAAATAGAAGCCTGGCTTCACTTCACAGTGTTTGTGTATGCATGTCACAAGTTAAATACAATACTGTTTCCACAACTAGCAATTCAGGACTTTTAAAGAACTTTTTAAAAAATCAAGTAGAAAATAGTTAAGCAAAATGGTTCAAGACATAACCTTTAATTATTCCATATAACTTGGTGAATTGAGCAAGAGCAACTATTCTCCAATAGCTAGTACACCCTCCAGTGAAAGGTATACATGAATCCATGTAGAGCTCTTTCATGGTATATAACCTGCACAAGTGTAAGAGCAATGAACAGATTTGACCTCTTGAACACAATTACACACTACGTAGCTTTGAATCTTCATATTTCTGTCTCTGCCATCAACAAACCATGCAGACACAAAGATTACTGTAAAGGTCAAACTTGGTTTGTTTTGGCCCAATCCTAAAAGTTGATAACACTGCCAAACAGGTTTTACGGGTATTTTCCTAATGCTTTAAAAGGTTTTCCTAAGCTCCATTTTCAAACTTTTTCTGATGCAATAGTTGTAATGTGGCCCTATATTCCAGAAAAAAAAAGTTTAGAATTGTCTCAGACTAGTTCAATGATTAAAATAAGGTAATTTTAATCACTCTTTTACACCAAGGAGCAGATCTATTTAAATCATAATTGTACAGTGCAGCTTTAGTCTGCAATGCCTAGGAATAAGTTTCACTGAAAACAATGGAACTGACTTCTGAGTAGACATGTAACGGTTCAAGTTTCCAATCTCTAGTCCCTATGATTCTTGAATAAGCAAGAATACTAACTGGTGGCTATCACAAAGCAGCTTCATTGGTAATTAAACAGAAATGTTATATCACCTTGGAGAATAATAAGCAATACTTTAAGACTTTCACTATAGGTATCTTTTGTACATTATATTATTTATATCTGTTTAGAGAGAGGCAAGAACTTGTGAAATTAATGCTTTCCACTTTACTCTCTCTCTCTATGCATACAAGGATACTATGAAGAACAAGTTAAATATTAAGCATCCACAAGCAAGATCTGCTAGTTACCCGACAAAACTGTATTTATTTAAAATATTTATATCCCATCTTCTATCCAATCAGGATCTCAGAACAGCTTGCATAAAAAAATAATGAATGAGCTCTAAAATTAAATGACTATTTATTTTAGATAACAGGGTCTATATATCCAACTTTCTCACATCATTGTGAAGTTCAGTATGTGTCCTATTGTCCTATATGAAAGCGGTTTCATATAGACGCTAAATAGCAAAGAGGATAGAATGGAGCCCTGTGGTACTCCATGGCATAGCTGCCATGGCACAGAGACATAGTCCCCCAGCACTACCTTCTGGAATCGACCATTGAGATAGGAGCGGAACCACTGCAAAGCAGTGCCTCCGACCCCCAGTCCCGCTAGCCTATCCAGAAGGATACCATGGTTGATGGTATCGAAAGCCGCCGAGAGGTCCAGAAGAACCAACAGGGATGCACTCCCCCTGTCCTTCTCCCTGCACAGGTCATCGTACAGGGCGACCAAGGCAGATTCAGTACTGTACCCGGGTCTGAAGCCGGACTGAAAAGGATCCAGATAATCAGTTTCATCCAAGAGTGCTTGGAGTTGTCCCGCCACCACTCGCCCCAACACCTTGCCCAGAAACGGGATGTTGGCCACAGGTCTATAGTTAGTGGCCATCTCTGGATCCAGTGACGCTTTCTTCAGGACCGGTCGTATTACCGCCTCCTTTAAAGGGGCAGGCACTCGACCCTCCCTCAGAGAAGCGTTAACCACTTCCAAGATCCAGGTCCCAATCCCGTGCTTGGAGTTATTTATTAACCAAGACGGGCAAGGATCCAATAGGCAAGTGGTGGGACGTACTCGTCCAAGCACCTTGTCCACATCATCGGGCCGCAATAATTGAAATTCCTCCAATAATTTTGGACCAGACGGTAGCATTGGCGTCTCCCCAGAGACTTCTGATTCATTAGTGGAGTCCCACTCATGACGAATCTGAGCGATTTTCTCCCTGAAATGCCTGGCAGAGTCGTCACAGCGGGCCTTTGAGGGTGGCATCGGATCTTCCTTAGACCCGGGCGAACCAGGCCTTGTACCACTCGAAAAAGCTCTGCCGGACGGCATTGTGAGGAGGCAATGG